CCATAACACTGCTGTAGTCTGCTGTACCCTGCCATAACACTGCTGTAGTCTGCTGTACCCTCCCATAATATTACTGTACTCTGCTGCACCCTGCCATAACACTGCTGTAGTCTGCTGTACCCTGCCATAACACTGCTGTTGTCTGCTGTACCCTGCCATATAAACCGTAACATCTATATGAATTTTAATATATATTGTTTTAAGTATTTTTAAACAATTTCCATCATCCATCAAATAAAACCGTCTTCAGAATTATTAAATACATTTATTATTATCTTTTGTTTTATCTTATTCTTATCGTTATCGTCGTTTGTCTTGTTCCTCCCAACACGAAATCTATTAATCCCCTCGTTTGTGTATTTTTCTGTTTCTTTTCAATTACGGGAACGTGACCCACTGACCCACGGACCCACTGACCCACGGACCCACGGACCCACGGACCCACACCACTATTAAAATTATTAGTTTACGAGTTCAGGCGTTTTTGTGGGGGGTGTGGGGGGGAGGTGTTTGTGTGGGGATGTGTATGTGTGTGTGTGTGTTTGCGTGTATATCTGTCAATCTGACTAACCTACACTAATAACAAATTCACTCAAATAACAAAAAACAAATAACAAACCAAAAATAATAATAAATTACAAAAATAAATAAAAAAAAAAGCAACATCAATATTTAACAAATTTAAAAAGAGAAAATATTTAAAAACAAAATCCTTTAGCCTGGTTTATTCATGGAGTGTGTATGGGACGTGAGGGAAAATGAATCGTATGCAAATTAAGTTTCCTAATTTGCATATCTCGTCGCTAAAGGCCGTGTAGGGTTAGTTAAGGTAGAGTACTTGGCCCGCCCTCACACCACCTGTAGCCTCCAATCTATCCACAGGTGAATTTGTTTTCCTGAGATTGGTGTTTTGTTTTATACTGTAATAATAATAATAATAATAATAATAATAATAATAATAATAATAATAATAATAATAATAATAAACGATTTATTAACAGAGTTGCAGCCGGTGGCTGAAAATATGCAAACTTACATTTGATTTAGACAATGATATGCGTTGAATACATTTACAGGGCTGTACAGTACATAAATCAGGAGTTGTTGTTTATTTTAACAATAGATGGGATGGTGCTGTTCTTATATCTATCGGTGCGGGCTCTTATGGGCTGAATTTTGTTGTAGTGGCGGACTGTGCGAGGTGGGTGGGGGGCTGCCGGTGGCAGGAGGTGGCGATGACGAGGGTGGTGCAGTAGTCCACTGCCAAACCTTGCTAGTTCTTGGTGGTGGAGGTCACTGAGGGATGGCATTTCCAGGGTGGAGAGAGCGTTGGTGCAGCCGGAGTATTCTGCGCCGAGCATGATTCTGCAGGCCCTTTTCTGTACCTTCTCTAGCTGACGTTGTTGGGTGGAGTTGAGAGAAGACGACCAGGCTGGTGACGCATGCGTTAGTTTGGGGAGAATAAAGGCGTTGTAGATGGTCCTCAGCTCTGGCGTGGGTGTCTCAAGTGACCTATGTCCACACGTGGATACATAGATTCATGTACGTATTTACAGACACGCATATACTCGTATACATACACACACACACACACACACACACACACACACACACACACACACACACACACACACATACATACATACTTTTTCTGCCTTAAATTGCAATGATTTAACTCAAGGGATCAAGATATCGTACTCAAGAGAGAAGACGAAGAAGAAGAAGAAGAAAAAGAAGAATTATCAATCAGCTCCAAGTCTCATTAAGTAATTCAGGTCAAAAACAAGAATTTCAGTTAATTAGTCCCGAGTTAATGACCCTCGAATTAATATAATCCATCACTCAAAGGTAATTAACAAGTCTAATTATCCCCAATTATTTTTTTTCAGGTAAGATCCTTAATTAACGTAATGAAGATGACCTGTGTTGATTATTAAAATGAAAATAATTATAATGATAAACTACCTAATTATCAGATTATAATTTGGGGATGAAAAAATAATTTCTTTCATAATATCAGTATGCAAATTAGTGTTCCTACCTAAAAAGTTTTTTATTTTTTATTTTTTTACGGGAAATAGCCCACCCTGACACAGGTCATCGACCCACAAAAGGGGCCTGGGGTGGGGGGCGAAAAAATAAGAATAAAAAGAAATTAAAAGTAGAAAAGGAAAAGGTTATATTAATCTACACCACGAAGATGCCGGAAAACCAGCCTTTTAAAGTGAGACATTGTATGAGTATGGAAACACAGAAGGAGGCAGAGCATTCCACAGTTTGGCTGTGTGAGGAAAGAAGGATGTCCTATAACAGGTTATTATAGTGTGAACGACATCCACAGAGAAACGGTGGGCACCGCGGGCAAGACGTGTGTTACGTGCCCACGGCCTTGCCGGCGGTACACAGGATGCCAAATCCACCGAACATTGCCCGTTAAGGTACCTGTAAAAGAGAGAGTGAAGCAACATTGCGGCGAAGAGACAGGGAAGAGAGATTATCAACTAAAGGAGGAGAGTTAATAAGACGAAATGCCTTTGATTCCACCCTATCTAACAGTTGGGCAGAAGAAGAGCCACCCCGCAGATATGAGAGCAATACTCCAAGTTAGGAGAAAGGAATCCCTTATATACTTGAAGCAACTGCTCAGGAGTGAAGTAGCTACGGCAACTATACAGCATTCCCAGCTTTCGGGAGGTAGCTTTAGCAATGTTGAGGATGTGTGGCTTCCATGACATATTAGAGACCCAGCAAATCTATTTTAGAATTTGGCAGGATGCTTGCGTCCTGAAATGTAATTGGTGGGAGATCATCTAATTTGGAAAGTGTAATTGGTAAATAATGAGTTTTATTACTATTGAATTTAACCAAGTTTCTACCTCCCCATTCAAAGATGCTGCACAGATCCGCATTGATAGATGTAATGATATCAGCTCTAGAAACAGATCTAGTTTGAGAATTAGGGGGAAGGGGAAAATGTGAAGAGTGAAGAGTAGAATCATCAGCGTAAGAATGGATAGAATTAGTCGTAGTGTGAAGTAAATCATTGATAAAAAGAAGGAAGAGAGTAGGTGAAAGAACAGAACTCTGTGGGACACCACTATTGGTAGAGAAAGAGAGAAATATCGATCCCTCGACAACAACTGTCATGGATCGGTTCTCAAGGCAGCCAGAAATTAGTGAACAAAGTGGGGGAGAAAAACCATAAGAGGGAAGTTTAGAAAGCAAAAACTTGTGCCATACCCTGCCAAATGCTTTGGAGATGTCGAGGGTCACGACGAAAGTTTCCCCATAATCGACTAAGAGAGGATGACCAAAGATGGGTGCAGTAGGAGAGCAGATCACCAGTAGATCTAGCCCGGCGGAAATCATACTGGTGAGCCGACAAAAGAAAATGGCGTTCAGGGTGATGGAGAAAATGAGAGTTTAAGATAGTTTGGAAAATCTTAGAGAGGGATGAACAATGAGCAATGGGGCGATAGTTAGAGGGACTAGAATGGTCACCCTTCTCTGAACCAAGGCATGCTTCCAAGAAGAAGGAAAAGTTTGGATTTTGAGGCAAAGGCGAAAGAGGCGAGCAAGCACTGGAGCCAGGGCTTCAGCACACTCCCTCAGAACACGAGGGGGCATTCCGTCCGGTCCATGAGCCTTACTCACAACCATCCTGGAAAACACACCAGCAACCCTACGAGTCTAGATTATAGGAAAGTGCATAGGTTCAATAGGAAGAGCAGGAGTAGGGTGATTATACCAATTAATGACCCGCAAATACATTAATTAGTGACTTTAAGTGTCATTTGATGATCTACTGAGCTCATTTATCATTTCTATAAACCGACTCTTTCATTACCATACCCTACCCTACCCTACCAAAGCTCTACACAATGAATATATATTGTGTTCGTATTGAATATAAATCGAATAATCATTGGGGTGGACAGAGGGTGAGAAGGGGCGATATTGGCAATGGTTAGGTGTATGGGTGGTGGTCATCGTACTCAAGGGGTTAAGTCATCGTACTCAAGGGGTTAAAGTCATCGTACTCAAGGGGTTAAGTCATCGTACTCAAGGGGTTAAGTCATCGTACTCAAGGGGTTAAAGTCATCGTACTCAAGGGGTTAAGTCATCGGACTTGCGAGGCAAGAACGGTACCCCTTCTACCACCGCGAGATGTCGCGGGTTCGATTCCCGGGCCGGTGGAAGTTGTTTGGACTTACTTCCTAGCCCCCATTAGTCCCTGTTCACCTAGCAGTAAAGTAGGTACCTGTTGTAAGTCGAAAGTTGCGAATTCGTATTCAGGGACAAGTTGTTGGAGCTTCCAATAACTTGATGACATAAACCACTGACTCTTCAGGCTTCTACGCCCTTAACTCATGAGACATAAAGGCAAGCATGAACTTAGCATGTTTCCCTGTTGGGCGCTGTAAACGCTTCTGCTCTTCACCTTACACAAGGATGTAGGGGAGTGCCCAATAAAAAAAAAAGTCATCGGACTAAAGGGGTTAAGTCATCGTATTCAAGGGGTTAAGTCATCGTATTTAAAGGGACTAAGTCATCGTATTCACAGATATGCACATTAAACTATTATTATTATTATTATTATTTCCAATCAATCACATTCTGGCTGGCGGCCTCTCCAATCAATCACATTCTGGCTGGCGGCCTCTCTAATATCTATCTGCTGAGCTAAAATATTTATACCCGTTGTTTATTTTCATCATTATATTGATTTATTAACAACAATAAGCATTAAAATTAATATGACTATTTATATATTTGATATTTATTTTAATATATTACATGCATTTTAAGAAGTAAATATATATATTATATAAAGAAGTATAAATTGTCAATATATATCAAGAACGTAAGCTATAAAATATATCCAATAATGATTAAGTCTGGGATTTTTATAGATGATTAAATATATAACTACAAGAATTCAAATAAGTAAAAATAAACCCGGCAAGAGAAAATATTTAACCCACCAAACAATAACAAAAGTTCCCGGGAAAATGGCTGTAAACATTGACTTGAAATCTGAGGCCTTGAAGGAAGACAAGGGAGACTCACACATACAATATCTCCCTTGTAATATAGAATATGATGGAAAGGCTGATATCAACAAGTTCTTTAATATTTACGTGGATGAAGAGGTGACAGGTGACGGTAAAGAGGAAAAGACTGGTGAGTGAAGTGGGATCTTGTTAACACTCGTCTGTCTGCCATGTGGTGTATTTAATTTGGTTTTATTTAAGGTATTTTAGGTATTTATTTGATTTAGGATCGATTATGAGTATTTGGGCGAAATTCATCCCGTATGAGTCGACTTGAACCCATGAAATAATTGTGAAATTCATGAAGACCTTAACCCAACGTAACCTCATCTCATCTCACTTCACCTCACTTCACTACAATTTACCTCACTTCACTTTACCTTCTCTTCACCTCATCTAACACTTCACCTCGCTTTACCTTCTCTTCACCTCACCTAACACCTCGCCTCACCTTCTCTTCACCTCACCTAACACCTCGCCTCACCTTCTCTTCACTTTACCTTCACTTCACCTCACCTAACGTAACCGAGGAAGTAAATTTCACTCAATTACCCTTACCTTAAGACACTTACCATTTAAGAGAAATCCTGTTATATATTACTGTACAAATAATTGTATAAAGGAATAATTTATATTATTTCATTAACAATTGTATTTATTAACTTTAAATGTTGATTGTTTATATGGAGACTCACTGTAAAGGCAACAGGAAATCAACATGGGATTTAGAAGACTGTGCCTCAATCTCTCCTACATAAATAGCCTTAAGAAATGTAGACACCACAGAATTTGGCGACGAGGATGGGATTGCTTAATACAGTCAGGCTTACAGTATTACCAGAGTCACTTTAGAAGAGTGAATTAAAGTATAAAGGAGAGAAGGGTGAGTTGGAAGAATCAGCCTGATTCAAAACATTTGTGCTACCCCAAGGTGGCAGTTCAGGGTTTGCTTGGCCATATTGATTATTTTGATCCTTCCACAGAGGATTTCACTCGTTACAATGAAAGATTAGAGCAATATTTTTGTGCAAATGAGATGGCACTTCTCCAGCTGATGCCAATGATGCCACAATTCAGGCTGCTAGTAAAAGAAAAGTTGCTGTCCTGATAACTGTCCTGGGTAAGAGTGCCTGCAAATTACTACAAGATTTATGCAGTCCAAAGTTACCCAAGGAACAGACTTTTGATGAACTAATTAAGTTACTGACAGACCACTACAAGCCCAAAAGACTTCACATTGCTGAAACTTTTAAATACCACAGATGCTTTCAGGAAGCAAATAACTCCATTGCAGATTACAGTGCTAGGCTAAAACACATGGCTGCAACATGTGATTTTGGCCAGTTCCTCACCAGAGCATTGAGGGATCAGTTTGTAAGTTGGATCCACAGTGCTGAGACCCAAAAGAAGCTGATTACCGCCGAAAGATCTTTTGAAGAATGTCTTCAAATAGCCCAAGCTCATGAGGTTGCTGCCGTTGAGATGCAACATTTCCGGAATCAAAGTGCGCCTGTTCACCAAGTTCAAGCTGCAGATAGTGATGAAGAATTTTTGGTGCATCAAGTCCAGCGTTCAAGAAAGTCACTACAGCCAGCGTGCAAGGCAAGGGCCATGCCCAAGCAATAATTCCCACTGCAAGGGGACATACTTGGAGAACTACATGAGACACACCGAGGCATGACAAAAATGAAGGCAGTGGCAAGGTCCTGTGTATGGTGGCCCAATCTGGACAAGCAAATTGAAGGAATTGTTTCTTCATGTCAAGTATGTCAATCCATGAGGGCAGATCCACCTACTGCACAAATTCATCCGTGGACTTTTCCATCCCAACCTTGATCAAGACTTCATGCTGATTTTGCAGGTCCAGTCTCGGGAAAGATGTACTTTCTACTTGTAGATGCTTGCAGTAAGTATCCTGAAGTAGTTCAAATGAAGAGTACTACGGCCGAGGCTACGGTAAAGGTGTTCCCTCAAAGCTGTCATACTAAAGGTCGTTTGTTTTTCTTGATAATTGATAGATTTATGAGATCACCTGAAGAATCTCCACCCTGGCTTATTTCACTTAAAGGTTAACCTAACTTATCTAGTGTCATATCACTTACTGTACATGATTGTCTGTTTTATGCCAATTATACTGTGTTAGTTAAATGATCAGGTTAAGTTATGTTGTGTTACGTTAAATTGCATAAAACAAACGACCTTCCAAGTGTTATGTAATCATCTATCCTAACCTAACCTAATCTAACCTAATCTAACTGCTGACAAACCCATCCTCAAGCAAATAAACATACCAGACAGATCAAGGATGTTGCGACCGGAAATACACAACGGAAAAAAAGTCGTAAAAATTATAATAAAATGCTCGAAATATTTTCCCCGTGTACTACTTTTCCTTCTCGTATGGTAAGACGACATTTATTTCATATGGCAAAATACTGTATCCTCAAGTTGTTGGTTCAGGCGCTCTACCATCGTCGATTTTGCAGCCGTTAGATACAAGAATCCCTGTAATTAGTATTTGACCTGTGTGGATGTTAGTTCTCGCAGGAAATAGTTTATCTTCTAACAATTTTTAACTTTGGAATTTATTTAACATCTTGTCCTTCTCCTCCTCGTGTTTCCAGGCCTGAAGGGAATGTTCCGAGGTTATCCACTACGAGGCTGTGTCGCGAAAGTCCCCGAAGGATACAAGGGAGTGGTTCTGAAGGAGACTCGACCCACGTTGAGCGCTGATGAGGACCGCACCATGAGAGGCGTGTGTCAGTTTAAGTCATTCACCTTCTGGAACTGGGACAGAGAGCCATCACGAGGGGACAGGTACCAACAGGCCATGGACTGGATTGATGTAGCCAATGCGGTGAGTTAAACATCGGAACACCTTTATCGAGTTACTTGATTATACAGGGTGTCCATAAATGATTACCCTGATTAAAGAATGATCTACCACTATTTTTAGGGTGATCATTTATGTACACCCTGTATATTAACTAATTATTTCACTAAAAGAACATCGTAATGATACTTTTTTACGTGAGTGTACCTTTAATGCATCAATTTGGACTCATTAAAAACTCTTCCATATTGGACACATAGGGAATCAAAGGCTAAATAATACAATAAATAAAATCACAAGGAAAATTTAATCCCAAAACTGTACACTCCAACTGTACTCCAAGTCCTCATTACAGGTACAGTACTGAAATATCACCTAATATGGCCTAAAATACAGTCAGAATCATGAGGTCAAGTGTCTGTTTTCCCAGTGAGTTTTAGTGAGGATATTTGTACAGTATAAAAACAGGTATTTGTACTGTAGCTGATCTATTGTTATCTTGTTCAGTATAAAAACAGGTATTTGTACTGTAACTGATCTATTGTTATCTTGTTCACTATTACTCACTAATCTTTATTGTTTACAGATCCATGGCAGTGATAACTAATATCTACACTAGCAAGAAAATAGACCTCAAATAGATTTTAGTCTCACGGTAAGCTTGTTTCCGGTAAGCTTGTTTATGGTAAGCTTGTTCATGTGTACTGAATAAAGTATTAGAATTGAATCTTGAGTCGTGAGTTTGAAACATTTTACTGTACCTGGAGGAAACTGTAGTACTGTACCTGGAGGAAACTGTAGTACTGTACCTGAAGGAAACTGTAGTACCGTACCTGGAGGAAACTGTAGTACTGTACGTGGAGGAAACTGTAGTACTGTACCTGGAGGAAACTGTAGTACCGTACCTGGAGGAAACTGTAGTACTGTACCTGGAGGAAACTGTAGTACTGTACCTGGAGGAAACTGTAGTACCGTACCTGGAGGAAACTGTAGTACTGTACCTGGAGGAAACTGTAGTACTGTACCTGGAGGAAACTGTAGTACTGTACCTGAAGGAAACTGTAGTACCGTACCTGGAGGAAACTGTAGTACTGTACCTGGAGGAAACTGTAGTACCGTACCTGGAGGAAACTGTAGTACCTGGAGGAAACTGTAGTACCGTACCTGGAGGAAACTGTAGTACTGTACCTGGAGGAAACTAGTACTGTAGCCTGACGTTTTACCACCCAGGGGAAGGCTAATCTAACAGCTGGTACACAAAGGCTAATGTTATGGTCTTGTGTGTGGTTTGGACGACATCACTGATACACTTACCATGCTATGTGACTTATTAATCCTCTATGGCTTTGACTCTCGCTTAACCAGTCATGAAGTTAGATCACCCAGAGTTTGATATGGTGGGTTTAACAACATATTCTTCTTGCCTAGGGGTTGCTTGTTCCGTTCTAATGGTAGTCGACAGCATAAAATGTGTCGGGGTTAAGTTTATTCTGTCGTGTACCAGCGTAGGCGTCAGATGGTTGTGTTTGACTGGGGTATATAGTATCAAGATCCAATTAATTTTATCATTAATCGGATATAATAGATACGTCATGCTTGAGGTTAAGACACGTCATACTTGAGGTTAAGACACGTCATGCTTGAGGTTAAGACACGTCATGCTTGAGGTTAAGACACGTCATGCTTGAGGTTAAGACACGTCATGCTTGAGGTTAAGACACGTCATGCTTGAGGTTAAGACACGTCATGCTTGAGGTTAAGACACGTCATGCTTGAGGTTAAGACATGTCATGCTTGAGGTTAAGACTTGTCATGCTTGAGGTTAAGACTTGTCATGCTTGAGGTTAAGACATGTCATGCTTGAGGTTAAGACATGTCATGCTTGAGGTTAAGACATGTCATGCTTGAGGTTAAGACATGTCATGCTTGAGGTTAAGACTTGTCATGCTTGAGGTTAAGACATGTCATGCTTGAGGTTAAGACATGTCATGCTTGAGGTTAAGACATGTCATGCTTGAGGTTAAGACATGTCATGCTTGAGGTTAAGACACGTCATGCTTGAGGTTAAGACATGTCATACTTGAGGTTAAGACTTGTCATACTTGAGGTTAAGACACGTCATGCTTGAGGTTAAGACACGTCATGCTTGAGGTTAAGACATGTCATGCTTGAGGTTAAGACATGTCATGCTTGAGGTTAAGACATGTCATGCTTGAGGTTAAGACTTGTCATACTTGAGGTTAAGACTTGTGTTAATGTTAAGCTGAGTTATAGTAAGATATTTAACCTGACAGTGGTTCATGTTATTCACTCGAGCTTGACGGTTTTCCAACCTAAGAGTCATGTTAACTATCTATATAAGAATGTAACAACAGTGCATAAATGTCGCCGTTTCAATAAAAAGGCATAAACAGTATATGTCTCCGTTCCATTGGGGTTAATAAGAAAAACGAACAAATTTAAATCATCTATCCTTTATTGTATAAAAACAAACTCACAAAGTAATGGTTTAAATATCAAAAACTCTCAAAGTAATATACTGAAAGACCCCAAGATTTTTTTTAAGGTACAAAGACAAAAAAAAAATATGTATTTATGAGGAACACCAAGAGTTAAGACAATCCATAAAGCTATATTATAATGTATAGGTTGAGTCACTTGCTGGCAGCCCTAGAGTCCCACTAAACAAAGGGTGTCTCAGGAAAATGTCAACACACTACCTCACTGATTATGGTAGAGATGGTGTAAAGGTTTCTATTACCTACAGCAACATTGTCCTAACTTGTTGATGTGTGAAGTCTCCTACAAGTCAGGACAATGTTGTTATACAGTACTACAAGTATTCAACCGATCTACACCAAAATCTGTATCAGGAAGTGTTTAGGTGAAGTAAGCTGGGATGGGGATTTTTCAAGTCATTCCAAAACACTTGATATATCGACAATAACGGATATATCGGCGACACCATGGGGCTACCAGCGAGCGTATCATCCCATGTATCAATTTCTTTACCGATACTTGAAGTATTACAGCGACCTCAACTGTGCAAAACATAAATAAAAATGAAGGATGTTTGGGCCAGGGTGGTAAGGACCTAACCTGACCATGGGCCAAACATCCACTCACCCATAAATATTGACGAATCACAAGTAACAAAATCGTACTCTTGTAAGGAACATAATTACTACAAGTTAAATTTTGAAGACAATTGAACGGAGATTATTGAGGGAATTATATTAAACCGTACAATAATTTGTTATTAAGTTACTGCTGATTATAGTCATCCATGCACCTTGTTTATTTCTCACTAATTAATGAGACAGGTGATGGCAACAGGAGACATATAAACAGATTTGTGTTAAGTAATAGTGTCATCCATTTTTAACCTTTACATAATATCAAAATAATAATACCTTTTGTTCTAATGACAAATAAGATTAACAGGAAACAATACATAAACAGAATAGATATGTATAACTATTGTATGTATGTATATCCCATTCATACAGGTTATTTATGTATTCTCTTACAAATAATATTAATACATCTGGACACAAGCCCTACACAAACCACCATTAACCAAGAGACAAGATCGTGTACATGTGTCAACTAAGGTCAGGGAAGTGACTCACACAAGGTTACCAGAGGAAGTCAAAAGTCACGGCCCAGATTCGTGAAGTTTCGTGCGATGAATATTTCTGTATTAAATTTATCTCCTAAGTGGTACTAAGTGAATGTATATATTAATGTTGACTTTTAATGTAATACGTAGTGGTACCAAGTGAATGTGTCCAATTATGTTGAGTTTCAGTGTAATATTTAGCTAATATCAACCAATCAGGTGACAGGAATATTGATGTTTTCTGAAACCTGGGCCGTGGTTGGTGCATCTGGAACCATATATGACATAAGTAACTCACAATAAACATATTTCTATAACATTTAAAACAAATGCTAGTGAAGTGTTGAGGCTGAGAGAGACTTAACAGACTTGTTATTCATCTCTTATTCAACACCTTATAGGATACTAATTGTCATGTCTGTTTAACTCCATTACAAAATAGTTTCACGGCTTGCATAATTATTTTACAAGGAAGATGACACACGTACACACATTTTACAGCAGTTGCAAATAATGTGAGTAGATTTAGGATAAAATACATAGTATTAGTTGACTACAAGCTTAATATAAAAGGAAATTCTTGGTTGGTAAGAGTTACGCCTCACTTGGAAACTTTTTATGTTTCAGGCTGGGAAGACAAATGTATCGACTGTGTGGCCAACAGTATCAATCAGCTGTATGGCCAACAGTGTCGGCGGTGGACAGTATCATGCACTGCCACCACTATACAACCGTCACGATAATACAGTACTGAGCTTTATTTATCAGGTTTTCTTTTCTTTCTTTATTAACCGCTTCACTACAGGGACGCTATTTTTTATATTTTACTTGACTAACGTTAGACGATTTTATTCAGCTCGGAGGCGATCCCGTACACATGGGGGTTAGTAGACTATCTCCACTGACCCTTTAACTAATGCTACATGATTTTATTTAGCAGAGAGGAGGGGAGTCCGTCTATAATAAGTTAATGCCTACAGGAAAACAAAAACAAATAGAGTTCACGATCTTGCTATTTGGAGTTGGAAAGTGAGAGCATTTTGATTAACAGAGTTCAGATTAATGTACAGTACAGTCTAGTGTTTACTGATTGGGTTGAAAGCTGCTCCCACAGTCTGTCTTAATGAGTCTCGGACAAATATAAACTGTACAAAATAAGACTAACTTTATTTATATTACAATCTTGACAATACTTTTATGTACTTACACTTTAGAAACTCACTTATATGAACTGATTTTTATTTTGGTTATAGACTCTTGTACATGTACCAAAATACCCCCCCCCCCCCAATCCGCAAAAAGGTAAATATAAAAAATTCTTCAATATTTCAAGATGGAGAAACAGTTTGGGCACCTCATGAGACCTAGAACGGTGATCGTGTTTTAAAGGTGATATGTTTTTGAGCACAGGATCGAGGAGTTGTGTATTTATATTTATTTATTATTGTCTTAACTTCAGCTGTTTGCACATTCTGTATGACAGGGTGTATCAGAAAAATGTATACACACTACCTAAATAAAAATTGTCAAGATCGTGTGAATGTTTGTATTACAACATATACACAATCATGAAAATATAGGGCAGTGTGTGTATACATTTTTCTGAGACACCCTGTATATTGAGTTGACATAGACACCTCGGTAAACGACCACTAAGCACAGTTGCGTAATAAACTATACATTCTTATCTACTAATCGTTCCTACAAGTCTTGTTAAGCTGCAGAAAACCCTGAATAAGCCTTAAAGCCAGAGTGAAGAACACCAACTCCAAGATACAGACTGTCTCAAAAAAATAAAAAAAATGCACACACACTGTCATTGATTTTTGTGGCGATTATATGAACCAACGGCAAAATTATCCTCACTTGTCAATGTGTCGCTCATCGGCAAGTGAGGAGAACGTTGCTGCTTTGATACCTTGTTATACTGTACCAGCATTCACGCGATCGCTATGACAGAGTGTAGAGTATTCTTTTTTTTTTTTAGACACCCTGTTAGAAGTTGACATCTTATATGGAAGTGATTCAGATTAACTATCACTGAATGTGCTTATTTCAATGACTACCCTAAAAGGAAATACAATATACTGTATCATTATACTGTATGAGAGTAGGGCTGTGGCGACCCCATGGCAAGACTAACGCCATCGCTCTGTGTGTTTAGTTACCTACGAGGCGAGAAAAGACGCTAGAGGAATGTATGTGGCTCTTAATTCCAACCGCTGTGTTAAAAAGGCTTCAAGAATTAATATTTCTCAACTGTTTTTGGAGAATGGGAATTATTGGTAGTCACTTGGTTTTGAGCAATTCTTTGGGTGGTCCGGCAACACTGTGAACCAAATTAAACGACAAATTTGACCCATACGAGGGTACTGTACTTGTGTGTTTGATTAAGGTAATACAGTTTAGTAGGTTACAGAACAAGACATAAAGATTAATACAGTAAAATTTGATCTGCCTCTTCTGTACTGTACTATGTGTTCCCTCTCCCTAAGATAATATTATTATTATTCACTCATTAAGGCATCTCCTGTATGGAAGAAAAAGAGGACAATTTTGTAGTAATAACCATTTCAATTTTTTTGTTATGTTATATCAACTAAACAAAAAGTAATAACATATGTATTATTATGTTTTACTGTTTATAATTATGGAGGTAACCATAATATATAAACATGGAGAGTTATAGTGTTGTAATTGACTGAAATTATGTCATTATTTTCCCGGAGGTGGTTTCTGAATTACTCCCCAGCCTTATCCAACTCAGTGCTAATGAGTACAAGAGGTAAAATTAAGGTAACATTTGACCTTCAGTACAACCTTCTTCAGTATATTATTATCAGTTAACAGTGAAGAAATAAAAACTTACAGTTTTGAGAATTAATCTGTAAAATATTCTTGTGTTTTAGAATAATGTATTAGATGTTCTTGTTACCTCCCCTGGCTAGATGTTCCATTTGTTACATTGCATGCATTGAAAAGCTAATTTGCGTTCCCATGGTTACGACTTTTTAACCTCGGGAGTTTCAATACTATATAGCCTGTTGGTTGGTAATTGACAAGTAAAAACTCTCCTCTTGTTTAATCTTTTAGCTTTTTATTAATAAGTTCCAAGATAGCATTTTACTCTCCTCATCATAGTGTTTCCTCAAGCAGTAACTGTAAGGCTGAGTTACACTTCATTTACCCCTCAGTGTTGATGTCATAACTCTTAGAATTCCTGTCCATGGTGTTATTAATTACATAAACATAGATAATTAGGTTTATGATTTGTAATACAGTACCTTGTGTTCTAAATTACTATAGTCTTGTGTCCTAAATTACCATAGGCTTGTGTCCTAAATTACCAAAGGCTTGTCCTAAATTACCATAGGCTTGTCCTAAATTACCATAGGCTTATGTCCTAAATTACCATAAGCTCATGTCCTAAATTACCATAGGCTCATGTCCTAAATTACCATAGGCTCATGTCCTAAGTTAATCCACACAGTTCCATGATAAAAATACCATAATTTACAAGTATACAATATGTGGAGTCAAATGATTTTCTAATACCTGTACCACAAAATACAAGTGTACAGTCAAATTTTACCTCTTCATCAGATGGTTCATGCACTCCTGAGCTGAATTAATTATTCATTACCAATAGTTTCTGAACTTGTTAATTGATCCATTAGTTAACTACACACTTGAGTGCTCTTAACAACCTCCAGATCTGATTACACACATTAAGATGAGATTCAGTTTGTGAGAGTTATAACCGCTTCATTACGGAGACGCCACTTTTAGTATTTTATTTAGCTAACGGCAAATGATTTTATTTGCTAACGAGGAAATCCCATACACAGAGGGTTAATACAACTCTCCATTAAATAGTACTAATGACCTTCAGCTGAAACTGAAGTAATTATTCATATGTATGGTAAATTAACCTGTATTACCTGGTAAGAACTTCATTTACCTGTTTAATATATCATAATCCTCTAAATATTCCCATAATTCCTAAATATTCTCGCAATACCTAAATATTCCCATGTCCTCAAAATATTATCATGATTCCTAAATATTGCCACAATTCCTGAATATTCCAATGATTATCTATTCACATAATAATATCTCTTAATTACCTTGTTACGGTTAATATGTGGTTAACTGTTACCGGTGCTCATTCATTTATCGTAAGTGAGGAAGCGTCAAGTATATACCCGTTCTTAAATGCACGGTGTGTTCTGGCTGTGTTGTTACCGGTAGGTGTAATGTTGAACGATGTAGTTTAAGCCGAACGACTTAAATAATTGCCTGCGTTAGTTTTGCATACGGTGAAAAAAGTCATCGTATAAACCATTTTCAGGCATAGGTGGTAAAAAGATATAAAATTTAGCCTTAATTAACATAACTCTTGGACTATAAAACTATTATAACTTCCGACTGAAAGTAATGGTAAGTGATGGCTGTATATATACTTTACTGTACACACAAGCCATAAGTTATGTTTTACCCAAGTGTGATAAACATGATGCACACTTCTTGGGGATTATAAAGTTCACCTCTGTGGGACTTTCACTAATATGTAACTCTTGAGTCTCTAAATTCAGTGATGTAAACATTTGTCAAGTTTCATGTCAACAATTATTTATTAGAGAAAATATGAATAACAAGCTAACAAGTCAATTTATCTCCTATTTCCTGTGGTGATCGTCTTGCCGGATAATAACGGAGGAATCCCCCGGCTTAGCCCAATCTGATGTCGCTCTCCCACCTATGTAATGTAAACAAAAAATAATGCGTTCCTTCCAAAATAAATTCTTCACTTAAAGCAAATATTTAAACAGGAGACAAATGATAGTGAAAATGTTTGGAAGCAGAAATGCCGTATTCACCGACATTTCATCGTAGTTAAACTTATCCGGGTGGGTGGAGCGTGGAAGTGTGACAGTCGCGTGATATGACTGGCTGATTGGCTGAGGCCAGGGGGATCCCTCGGCTGTCCTCTCAGTATAGACGGTAACAAACTCAAAATTAACCTTCGATTTGCCATAAACTTTCACCTGTATGGGGACGACATATCGAGAGTAGTGACTTTGCCATCATCTTAGTAATTACTGTCTGATCTGTTTCTTTATTACAGTACAGGAGTAAACACAGCAGTCTCTCTCTCAACTTTCTCCTACTCGGTTGCCTCGGCTATTTCCTCTCCTCTACGTAAATGGAAAACACTCGCATCTATGAAACAGTTACCATTGGAAGAAAAAAGAGGGTTAGATTAATGTGTGTGGCATTGATGTGGTTAGTGACATTGACCTGGTTAGCGGTCAACTGATGGTACACCACTTGGAAAATAACATCCCATCAATATTGCCCGAGAAATGTAATAAATAGTTAATAATTATCTTGGACTGAGAAGAAAAAGACTTAAAATTGGCTGGCAACTAACTGGCAACACTTTGGACATTTGACTTGTGTATATAATATGTACAAATACTTAAAATTTTACTGTATAACGCTTACAAAAATAAAATCCGTAAAGTTGCTACTGCCACCGATAACCGAGAATCATTTAGTAAAGATGAATCACCTAGTCAATAGACAGTACGACCAACACACTAATAAGCAACGATTCTGTCATTAAATCCCCCCACCTCCCCCCTCAATTCTGTCATCAATGCCCCCTCCCTAGCTATAGTTGGCATCCAAAACACAAATACCATAAGCAGTTTCATAAGCATTTTAATATTTCATCAGGTAGGAGCATAACCAAAGACTTTACATTATACATTCAATACACTCCACCTCTCCTCCCCCAAAAAAAATACAATACGTTAATTTGAAATACAGTATAATGTATTCTAGTCTTTCATGCAGTAATAATGACTATCAATCTTTTAACTTTTTTTTTAATTTTCTTTGTGCTGGGATATACAACCTGAATACGAGGGAATTGGGAAAAAGTCTTCAGGGATTACACAACGATGATTCACATTTTCCGCAAACGTCTCGCCAAATCCGGATTATTTCTAAGTACCGTGCGTAATTTAAGTACCGTTCTATAAACACTAATAAAGTTAATATTTATTCTTTCACTCAATCATCGTAAAAATAAATAATATAATTACCATCCATTAGCTACCTTGAATATATTATTAATGATAGGAGACTGAAGTAATTATAGGTACAATCCCATGCAATTACTCATTACTCTATTATATCTTGCTATGCGTTATTGTTCATTTGTTCACAACCCAAATGTTCTACTCTGGGGCTGTCGTACAAGTGAACGGAACTTCATAGTGTAACCAAACAGCTTTTATTTAATTGTTCAGTATCCCCCAAATAAAATTAAAATCTTACTTAAACAAGAAATGCAAGAAGGTATCGTACAAAAAAGAAAAACATTATCAAGCTTAATTTCTAATTATATCTAATATGGACAATAAATCATCAATCCAGATAAACTAGCACTTTTTTTTGTAGTAATCTTTTGTTAACTATTATTTTACAACTTAATATTTCCTAGCATAAATCAATCACAACTAGGCTGTAATAAATTGATCTTTTTTTGGGCTACTACAGACAATGTCAATTAATTGCACACACATCATTTTTAGTCAGTAAAATTATGTAGGTACACGACAATTCAATAATTTCAACAGAGTTCGCCTATTTTCTTTCAATTTCAGATTTTTTTAATTTACCCTATGCTCCAGATTTCACCCGTTTTCTTTAACACCAAAATTAAAACTACCGCAGAACGGGGTAACAGGTGTGGGGTTATCCTGTTATCCACACTTGGGGAGGGGGGTCAAGAACGAAGGCTCCTCAGGACTAACAGTATCCGAATCTATTGATCTCTATCCACTTTGGGTTGTCCTTTATTCCGTGCTATATTATATACAGCCTCGTGTAATTTGTGTCTTATAACAGAACCTTTAACGCTCTCAGTATACCCTGTACTGTAGTGGGAGATTCAGTTTAACTCAGTATACCCTGTACTGTAGTGGGAGATTCAGTTTAATATCATGTCTTTTTATATCAATTAGATCTGTTATATTCATTCTATAACTTTAACTATACTATACAGCCCTGATCAATCTCTATACAGTATAAGTTATGAGAAATTCTGTTTATTTTTTCAACTTTTTAACAAATAAAAAAAAATTACACCTGTTACATTGAATCAAAAGTGTAAGTTAAAGTAAGTTTGTCTGAGGTACAGTACATTACATAACGCCAGATCAACATGTTACAGTACTGTATTATGGATGTATGTTACAATTAAATGGCATTGTCTATACAGGTACAGTGCTAGTTGTACAGACAGAGTCAGATTTACTAGAGGTCACTTCCTGAAGAAGTTCTCATGTCAAAATTATCAAAGAGAATGATGACATATTGGAAGTGTTATTTGTGAACTTGGTGAGTGTTAGAGAAAAATGAAGTTAGTGAAATAAAACTGCATTATTTAGCATATGTTCACTGTTGTTTGGGAGAAAATAATAACTATTTTTCTTCATAACTTGGGGGAGGGAATTTCTAACTTCAGTTTTTCATAACTCAAGTCTTGTAAATGAGGATCTGCCCGTATTTACATCATAAATACAATAAAAGAATAAGCCAGCTTCTTACACCCAGTGATGCATCACTTATATACCTGTACAAAGGTCATTTCGTTACAAACACCTGAACCTCACAGGTGAATTATGTATCAGATCCACCCCAAAATAATTAAGAGAGCCAAAAGGGTTATTATTCCAGCTACACTACAGTAATGTACAGTCACAGAGAAGGTCCCGTCAGTCGACCGTCTCATCCACGAACCTGAGCATCCCAGACATAACACTGTGTGCCGCCTCTGGGCCCAACAATGTGTGATGTCTCAGAGTCACAGTTTTATGAATGTGATGGAGGACTGACAGGACTTTTTTCCAGTCTAGTACCTGCACCTTCTGTGTATATTGCCAATCTGTCAAGCATAAAAGAAAGATAAAATAACTGTGAAGATTCCAGACATAATCTGTAGTACAAAACTTTCACTTGACAGGATTTATATACTGTACTGTATATATAATTATTTAACATTTATAACTAATGCCCATCACCTACAAGACAAGAGACACAGGTACTGTACTGCATTAGTTGACAAGGTTCTTGAGTTAAGTATTGTCTAAGGCATATCATTACTATAAAAATATAATAAATAATAAAGTTAAGGGCCACAGACACAATCACTCGAATAAAAATGGCTGCCTACTGAAATCTTATACCATAAAACTACAAATATTCAAGATGTAGTAATTACAAAATCAGAGAATATAAGGCAGTTTTGCAGGGTCAGAGAAAGCACATCCTAATACGTAGAGAAACCCGAGCCAGGCATTTAGTTTAGCAGTCCTCTTTGGTATTGTCTCTTTGCCCACTGTTCTAAAATGCCTCTCTAATCTGAAGGCCTCAGGGATTGTGATGAGTGGGAGGAAGAGCATGCTGGAGTACTTCATGCCCCACACGGCAAACATCGTGTACGGGGCAAAGAGAAAAATGGCGTACAAAACTTCCGAGGCCGTTCGACCGATGATGATCGCCAGCGTCACGATCCCGGCTTGACTGTCAGACTCCAGGTCCCGGGTATTATTGGAATGGAGGATTGCTTCTGTGTTTAAGGCAAGAGGTATAGCATATAAAATGGTGGCCCACTGAACGTGTCCTGCCTGGACCATGTAAGAGAACAGCACAGTCATGGGCCCAAAGAAAATGAGAATCATAACATCACCCAAAGCTATGTACTTGAAGCCTATTCCGCCCGTGTATAAAAATGAGCTCGACAGTCCTCCAAAATAGACCAATGCCAAGTGTTCCAGGCGGACAGTCGTTACCATGGTCAGAATAACAAATCCAGCGCACCCGATGGAATACAGGATGACACCGAGCGTAACTATCTCGTCTTTGGAGAGTAACTGATCTACTAAGGTCCGGTCATCACTCTTCTTACTATCGATTCCTTTCACGTAGTCAAAGTAAGTGTTGACAACGTTACCGGCCGCATGCACCGAGAGAGCCGTGAGCGCCGTGGTAATGAGCGCGACGAGGCTGAACTCTCCCGTGGCCTTATGGGCTAGAGTGCACCCTAACATCACCGGCATGAGGGAGGCACTGAAGGACCACGGCCGAAGAGCCAGTACATACGCTGATAACTTCATGAGAGGAGAACCGCGCCTCTTCTTCTCTGGTGTTGAACTCTTGCCATTCATCATTGTGGTCGTCTAGTTCCCTGAAAGTAACACCAAATGTTCTTAGATAATGTAAAATAAAAAGGTTCATCAATAAAACTAAACTAAGAGAATTAAGTGTTAGAACTACAATCCCTGGTAATTTCTATTCCTTTTAAATGAGTAAAACTTCATCTACACTAGTCAATTTTCCATTTTTTACTTTATGAACAACAGTGAACAAGACATTACAGCACAGGTGGTTGAGGTAGACAGCTGGTACACCCCCACACCACCTGTAAACTAGACATAATTATACAATACGTTACAACACAGGTGGTTAAGGTAGACAGCTGGTACATCTCCACACCACCTGTAAACTAGACATAATTATACAATATGTTACAGCACAGGTGGTTGAGGTAGACAGCTGGTACACCCCCACACCACCTGTAAACTAGACATAATTATACGTTACAACACAGGTGGTTAAGGTAGACAGCTGGTACACCCCCACACCACCTGTAAACTAGACATTATACAATACGTTACAACACAGGTGGTTAAGGTAGACAGCTGGTACACCCCCACACCACCTGTAAACTAGACAATGAGATAAGATATTAATCAAACCACAGGTAGTTGATACACACTCACCCACCTGTAAACTCCGGAAAGCAGATTCGGCATTTCCTGCTGCAGTACCCGGCCCACATCACCCCCCCCCCCCCATATATAACCCCCTACATTATATCACCCACCAACATGATCAAACACACGTGTCTTACCTGTAATCATGATAATTGGAAGTCTCTATCCCAGGTAAATTGGGTTAAATATATAATGGTTAGTTGGGGTCACTTTCTGGGCGTCTTCTAAACGATGTAAACACTGAACCAACTGCTAAATTATCCACATTGTATTATATTGTGTTTTATTAGATGTGTTCTTATTTAATTCTTTAGATGATTGTACATGTTATTGGACTGATTGATATATTATAGAACATAACCGTATAATAACCGTATTTTATCATGTCTTCCTATCTGGTTGGGCAGTAAGTATTGTTTGGTTATTCTACACTTTTACTGATTGCCAATTATCGTATTGTCTTCGTAATTATGTAATTATTTTAGATAATTTGATTATTAATGAATGACTATATAAGCATATGAATATGTTAGGAAGTGTTCGTGTGACTTAAATACAGTATTCAATTATACATTAAAGCTGTCTAATATATAATCGCTTACAAATATAAGAAAATCATATAAAAAGTTTTTATTAAATCAAATTAACTTATTGTACTATCATTAACTAAATTTATTAAACCAACAAAGAACTTTAATTAACGTTAATATCCTTACGTATATATATACATTTATAGAGATTTTAATATTAAACTTAGTATCTTATTAAAAAATCCCTAAATATATAAAACATTAGTGATTAATGAAACGACTTCCTCCAGTTAGACTTGTTAAGGTGTTTCAGAAGGAAGTTGTTAGTGGTTAATGGCAACACAACATTATTTTGTAAGTTATGGAGGTTATAGGTCGTCACAACCTTCTTCTTCATCAATAATTATATCTGATAGATCTTAATCAGTATTGTGTAAGTTTTAGTAATTGGTGGAATAGTTTAGAGTTAGTTATGTGTGTTACTGAGAGCCTCAGATGATGTTTGGTTCTTTTAATTCTTATTATTGTTCTTAGTGACTTCTTTATTAAATGGAAATAATTTTTAAGATAATTGTTTACATGTATTGGCCAACAGCATCACTGAAATATGTTTGATTTTTGTAAGAATGAATGTTACAAAAAAATTATGACTACAGGGTGTGTCATAAGTTGCCTACCAGGGAAGAAAGTAATTTAAATTTATGGTAATTCCTCAAAGACAACGGAAGCTTCCACTGGGGTTAGCTCATACCAACTACTGTAGGTGGTTATAGCTTTTTGTGTAATACTGTACAACAAGGTCTAGGTTAGCTTTGGTGTTATTATCGTTTTGGTCATCCAGCGAATTTTAGGTTAGGTTAGGTTAGGGTGAATTTATATTTTTCTGGTGTTTTTTGATGTTTTGAATGATTCTGATCTTCATTTCTACCACAAATTAGTTTTTTTTTTGTGATTTCCCTACTGGATGGATGACCGAAACAATAATTTTACCTTGGGTTTTAGTTGACCTTGTGGTGCTGTGGTAGCCTTCCCTGTTACCACCCAGAGGTCTCAGGTCCACTTATATATATGGAGTGTTGAGGTTTACGTAAAAATATCGTTTCCGTCATCCACATAAAAAACATCAGAAAAACATAATTTCAACCTAACCTAACCTAACCTTACAGAAGCAACGCGTCGTAGAATTGTCTAAACTACTGATTCTAAATCTTAAAATCCTTAAATTCGCTGGATGGTCGAAACGATAATAATACCAAGATTTATATAAATATATTTTATTGGGTGTCGTATACTGTAGCGTGTGTTGATGGCAATAAGAATTCCTGCATTATCTAACAGAACTTTATATGTTGAAGATTCAATTCATGCCATAATGGTAATAGGTTTTCTTATGCTTTTATGGTGATTTGAATGAATATGACCTTTATTTCCAGCGCTAATGCTTATTTCTGGAGATATAATCCCTTTAATTTATATTTCATAAATTTTGAATGACTTGAGTTAACACGGCAACACAATGATATAATCCCTTTAATTTATATTTCAGAAGTTTTGAAAGACAGGAGTTAACACGGCAACACAATGAAGTCATTTTTGAGTCTTGGTATTGGGAAATCATCTGCCATTCTCGAGGCTCCCAAACCTGCGAGTGGTATTCTGCCTCACCAGGAGGAAGAGAGTCTAGCGTACCTCTGGGTGGAGCTTACCAAGTGAGTCTCACCAACCAATTTAATTTTTATTACTTCACCAGTTATCAGCTTATTAATGTTTGTGTCTTTGTAAACTTTCTATTATTTTAGGCCACAGTAAATTCTTAAGTGAATCCTTAGAATATATTAAAAGTTTTTGATTAAGTTATCGATGAGTAACCTAACCTAACAAAATCTGTTTAATCATGAGGTGAAATTAGCAAGGGGGTTTCTTACCTGTAATATCCATGAGAGAGAGAGAGATTCCTTCCTTCCTTCCTTCCTTCCTTCCTATCCAATATTCGTGAGCTGTGATGTTTTCCCTCTCCTTCAGATCCGAGGCCGGCTGTTGCAAGATCTTAAGTGAGGTGCGGAACTATGGGGAAGCTGTTAAAGATACACAGGAGGCAGAGGAGAAGTTGCTGAAAGACTTGGGCGCCTCCGGTCTGGCAGCAGTCTCCCCACAGATGCAACAGGCGACCGATGAGTACCTGTCTGTGGTCATGGAGGTGCGTACACTGACACACACACACACACACACACATAAATGACTTGAAAGATTAGAAGGTAATTGTATTTATTCTGAGATAACATTAATAGTGTATGTGTGTGTGTGTGTGTGTGTGTGTGTGTGTGTGTGTGTGTGTGAGAGAGAGAGAACTGTGGGGTGTTGTGTCTAAAATAGGGGGGAGGGGTTAGAGAAAAGTTAACCTAACCAAAATTGTGACTTTTTTATGCTATATTATGGTTCCCTTCTTTCAGTTATACTTTATCCTGCTTTCATTTATTAGATCCTTCTTTCATCTATATTTAACCCTTCTTTCGTTTACATCAGATGAAGGCTAAGAGTGAAGAGACGAGCTCAGTAGTACAGCAGGTGATGGGTGACCCGGTGAAGCAATACCACGCACTGTATGAACCTCTAGATGCTCTCCGTAGACGGCGAGACGCTCAGCTGGTCGTCGTCCAGAAGTGCCAAGATAAACTGGATCGATTGAAGTTAAAGGTTAGGAATTTTTTTTAGGGAAGTTATGGGTTAGGTTAGGGGAAGTTTAGAGTTTGGGTTGATTTTTAGGGTTATTTTAGGAATTTTAAAAGGTTAGGGATGCTTTTAAGGTTATTTTAAGGAAGTTAAGGGATAGGTTAGGGGAAGTTAGGGGTTTGGGTTGATTTTTAGGGTTATTTTAGGAATGTTAAAAGGTTAGGGCTGCTTTTAAGGTTATTTTAGGGAAGTTTAGGGTTAGGTTAGGGGAAGTTAAGGGTTTGGGTTGATTTTAAGGTTATTTGGGGGGAAGTTAAAGGTTAGAATTGATATTTTCTGTGTGTGTATTTGAAAAAGAAAAGTTAGGGACACTATTTAGGTCATTTTAAGTGTTAGATGTAATGGGACTTTTTTGGGGGGGTTATGTTATGTATTATAGGGACATCAATGGAGTTTTTCATTACGATACAGTACAGTACATACCCCAGTACTTGCCCACAGTGTGTAACAGAGACATGTACGACCATTCAACTGGCTTATGAACAGGTGGTGAAGAGGATAAAGTAAAGTAAAATAAAGTAATAAGTAAAGTAAAGTAAGGTACAGTAAAGTAAAGTAAGGTACAGTAAAGTAAAGTAAGGTACAGTAAAGTAAAGTAAGGAAAAATAAAATCAAGTTAAGTAAAGTAAAAGTGATATTTAAGAACACTTTATTAGAACACCTTTCATTTACAACATTCAGATTGGCTAAAAAATTTTGTTCCCATCTACGTACAGTATATGAAAGTTAGGTCTGACTGTACAGGAGTTGTATCCTAGACTGTATAAATATGAAGAGAGAATTACTGTATTAATTTATTGGTGACAGTGGATTCCATTTGGCATGGGAGGTTATAGAGGACAGTGGTGATACAGTACACTTTATATTAAACCTTCGACACATAAGGAGGCAGCCTGGCCACCATTACAATCATCTGGGTGAACCTTTAGGGCCTCGGGATTGAACCAGTGACTCAGGATAGGAAACTAGTGCTGTGTCCACTCACCTGCTGTATTAATTTACTTGTATGAAAGATTATTTAGCAACATCCATTTTAAGTTGTTTTATTTTGTTCCAGGGTAAGCGTACCACCGATGTGATAGTGGAGAGAGACAGTGCACAGCGCCAACTGAAGGAAATAAATGGACAGTTACTCACCGAGGCCAAGAAATTCCACTCCATGCGGCAGCCGTTGTTACAGCCGTGCATCCAAGCCTACATCCAGACCCTGGTATGTGAGGCATCTTGTTGTATGTCTTTTACATGGCTTGATTATCTTATTCTGGTGCTATAAACGCCTCGACATCCTCACCTTCCTGTCATCTCACTCAAGCTCACTGATCCAAACCTTTGAGTTCCTGGTGTTGCTCTCCTGGTGTTATAAATCTCTCGTTGACGTGCGAGATAGTGTTGGCTGTACAGTAGTTATAAAACAATAGACAAAACTAAAGAACTTTGTTGGTAGAGAATATATTTTGTTTCTGCCATTTAGATTCCTTCATCTTACTTTATTTTCATGTTAATATTTCACCTAGTGTTTGGTAATAGTTAAACATGTATAATAGACTATAAATAAAACCTGACACACCATTTTAACAGTTGTCTCTGCCCCTCAGGTTGACTACTACGGCACAGCAAACTCTCTCTTCAGCAACTTTATCCAGACCAGCCGGGGAGCTCACCAGATCAAAGACGCCGAGTATGAGGCAACGATGGGAGACCACTTGAGGAAAATTAAATCCCTCAAAATTGTAGCTACTTAAAAAAAGAGTCATAAGGTAAAATAGACATAGGGTATTTTTAGTAGTTGTAGTGTAGGTATATGATGATGATGTATTTATTATGTAGTTTAATCCTGTGTTCAGTAGGATATCTGAGGAGTGCCATTGTTTTTGCCGTTCGTAGTTGCCTCGTTTTAATCACCACGTGCAAATGGTGTCGAGAGCAAGATCTTGCAGCAGTCTCAGTTATACAGTCCCACCCACAAGATACTGAATTATCCCCATCAGTTACTTCTGTTTGGTGCTGCCTGGCTGACTTGGAGAGGTAGGGAAATATGGGATGGGGCTGTACATTATACTTCATCTGTTCCATATCTCAGGTTCTATGATATATACTTAAGCAGGTATTGAGTTGTCTTTCTTATGTCAAATGAAACATAGTCTAACCTAACCTAACCCAACCCAACCCAACCCAACCCAACCCAACCCAACCCAACCCAACCCAACCCAACCCAACCCAACCCAACCCAACCCAACCCAACCCAAATAATTCTTAAAAATTCACGGGTAGAATTTTGATTTGTGATTGTTAATGGCACCCTGACGCTAGGACCTGATGAGAAATAGAGTACCACTGTATAAAGAGGGAACAGTGTAAAGGTCGATATAATAATTTATTTGTCAGTTACAGAAAGGTGAATTATGTGATAGTGATAAAGATACCATTCTTGATACCATTATGTGGACTGAGTAAATAAGATCTCATAATCATAAAAATGTGTGTGTGATGCATTGTGGCCATGAGACTGCTAGGTAAAGTGTACTGAAGAAAGGTATGTATAGTCTTAGTATAGTATAGTCTGAGCTTCCATTCGTGGCTCTTCCATTACACGATACCTCCCACTGGCAGATGGACTTGAATCCATTAATGTTGACGACTAATGGAAAATCATGCAAGGTAAACTCCTCCAGTGATAGGCCTTCAGTGATAGGCCTCCAGTGATTGGCCTCCAGTGATAGGCCTTCAGTGATAGGCCTTTCCTGTTATCAAATTATTGTATTGTGTGGTCCAGCGTACATCTGACCTTGTGTTACATCAGACAAGGGTCAGTGTGGGGGAATGAACTCAGGCCAACCCACTGTCACTGACTGTCGAATTGATTTTTTTTAATAGCCAGAACTAACAAAGGGAAAATTATATTCCCTTTCAAGGCTCAGAAAATATTTCAAGAATTTGTATTATTATGTACAGCATATAATAGTTAATTTAGTTTAATGCTCCAAATTTTCTTAACATTGCAAGTGAACTTTGTGAACAGCTCATATAAAGTCCACGCACACCACACGCACACCACAGCCACACACACACTACACCTCACACACACACACACACACACACACCTTTTCACGTCTCTTCACATACACTCTGATGTTAGTGACTTATCAGTGATGAAGGTCAGAATAATGAAAGACCAAGACATATTTACATACTTGACTATATTCATCTCTCAACACATGGTCATTATGAGATGAGGTTATGAGGATACCACAGGGATCATGTAGAATATTATTGTAGTGAGTATGAATAGTAGTAGTAATAGTAGGAGTAGTACAGGTAGTAATAGTATGATTGAAGGGCCATGTCCAAAAACTAATACCATAGATTAATTAATTTTGAGGTGTTAATTACAGGTGACCAAAGGAATTAGTAGTTGAGTAATATCTTAAGAGTTTGGTTGATTTATTTTTCTTTGTTTATTATTATGGTGGTCATCTCTGTGAAGGATAGAACCCCCCGGTGCTGTTATTGTTACGTGATCACACCGCAAAAATCACATGACCTACAGCACCGTGCGTAATAGTGGATGTTGTACCGACGATATTCCAAAAATGCGTTGAAAGTAAAGAATTGTATAAGTTTTATGCGTCAAATGTGTTGCCATTTTGTGTAAAGAAGATTTAAGCGTCGAATAGTTTTTTTAGTCCTCAAGGTACAGGATAGTACAGGATTGCTTATGCTCAACTTACCGACAGATCAGATGAACATTAGGAACCCCTCGCTTGATGATGACACACCTTAACACTCAACGGGGGGTTTGGTTAGGTTAGCATTTGGGTGTTTAATCATCAGGTGAAATAAGTGGGGGTGCCTGACACACACACACACACACACACACACACACATACACACACACACACACACACACATACTCTCTCTCTCTCTCTCTCTCTCTCTCTCTCTCTCTCTCTCTCTCTTTCTCTTTTTTATTTTATCTTTCTTCCATTTTAATTATAACTTCCCACCCATTGGCATCTGTTAACCCTCCTCTCTACTCACTCAAGTTATATGTCCCAGTTTTACTGTATTAGTTTACTTTCATCGTCAATGTTTTACGGCCATTTTCCACACTTGCTCGGGTTAGCTGGGATTAACTGATGACACCTCTCTATGGTGCACAGTCTCATGTGGTCTCTCTTCATCAGGGTCTTAGCTCTTAATATCATTCTTGCCCTGCCCCTACCTCTCCTCTCCTCTCCTCTACAGTGCACTCATACCCAGCTGCCCTCTTAGCTCAGAATAGGGCCTCCAGTCTTACAGTGTATAGTAATTTCCTTCTACTGGTCTTGAACACCCCATCTCCACTGAGCCTTTCCTCTTCACACCAACTAAACTATCGAGGCAGAAGATAAACAAGAATATATTACACATTCCTGCCATTCCATAATACAAGAACTATGAATGAGAAGACCAGAATTAATTGTGTGATTTAACCCTTAACCAGCAGCTATGGATTCCTTACTCTGCAGAATTTAAATATAATGAACATGAAACATCCACTGGTGATGGCAGCCACCCTCACAGCTAACTTCCACTGGTGATGGCTGCCACCCTCACAGCTAACTTCCACTGGTGATGGCTGCCACCCTCACAGCTAACATCCACTGGTGATGGCTGCTACCCTCACAGCTAACATCCACTGGTGATGGCTGCCACCCTCACAGCTAACATCCACTGGTGATGGCTGCCACCCTCACAGCTAACTTCCACTGGTGATGGCTGCCACCCTCACAGCTAACTTCCACTGGTGATGGCTGCTGTTTAAGGGTTAATTCAATCACATTCTAATATTTCACTGTGATTCCTAAGTACTGTATATTATTGTATATGAATAAATTGCTATATTTTGTTGGCCTTTTTCTCAACTGTTGAATGGTGTTTGATTTGTGTACCAGGAAGTCTTCTGATGTGAATGCTGTGGAGTACAATACAATGAATGTATACACATTGTTTATACTGAGAAAGTTGTGTGTCAGGTGTGTCTCCCCCGTCCTATACAGTACTGTACAGATATAGGAAAACAAAAGGTAGAGAAACAAATATTATATAAAAACAGATTTATTCACTAATAGTGCATTTTGTTAAGAAGAGAGAATTATAGAAAAAAAAACAGAGCTAACAGGACGTGAGATTAATTAAGGCTTTCAGAATCTTGACTTTCCGTCCACCATATTGACCACTGGCGGATAGCAGGTTATGATTTTGAACACCTCAATTTTTCTCTTCTTTTTTTTTACAGTAGTATGTAAAACCCTATTAACAATACTTATGTACAAATATATACAGAAAAAAATTATATGCTTACATGACTAACAATAACTTATGCTTTGTTGTACAGTAACAAAGCTTAATGCCTTGAGGAATAGTTTGTGTATCAGATAAAACATTCATTAACTTTTGAACATCGGTCATAAATCCTAGCAAAAAATTCCTAACATTTCACAAGGATTAGAATTTTAACAAGTAAACAATTTTCAGGCAAGACACATTGTATACACATAAACAACACACACACACATACTGTACTGGAAATAAGAGATCAAATGTTTGCTTTTTATAGTCATATGCATAGTGAGTTGAGGCATAGTACTCGAACGCTTTAAAAAAAAGACAGACTATACTGTACGTTCCATTACAGACAGACCCCATACATGCTGAGTAATATAGGGTGTCCTTATCATATCATCCGACCCATTTTAAAGCTTAATAACCTCGGAAATATTATAGACAGAATATGATGGTTTTATTATACTTGATTAGCATTATACCTCGAAAACATTATAGGTAAAATACTCTAGATTTATTATACACGAGGAACAACTCGTAAGTCTTCCCTTGTCCTAGTAAACTGTGTTGCGTTCATAATACTTCTGAAGTTATTAAGGTTTATAACAGGTCTGATAATTTTGGACATCCGGTACATTTCACTTCTCATGTACAAATCACATATGTTTTACTTAAGTCACTAGTTACTAGTGACCATAGTACCTACAGTGAAACCTCCATATAACGGACATTATGGGAGAGGGTATAGGAGTCCATTATATGTGAAACCTCCATATAACGAACTACAGGTACTGTATGCGAGGGAGGATACGGTAGTTCGTTATGTGTGACTTTATCCATTAAATCTTCGGTCCTTAAGATGGAAGCCTCACTGTAATAACAACATGCACACCAACAAAGTCAATGGTTATAATCACAGAGGCACTGTTTATCATACTCTTTTAAAACTTGGGGCAGTGAGAGAGAGAGAGAGAGAGAGATGCAACTGGCAGTTTATGGGCTCTTTGAGGGGTAGTTTATATTCCAGTTAACAAAAGGTATACCAACATGGCTTTTACAGGGATAGTCTACACATAGTCTACACTTCAGGTAACAAAAGGTATACCAACATGGCTTTTACAGGGATAGTCTACACATAGTCTACACTTCAGGTAACAAAAGGTATACCAACATGGCTTTTACAGGGATAGTCTACACATAGTCTACACTTCAGGTAGCAAAAGATATACCAACATGGCTTTTACAGGGATAGTCTACACATAGTCTACACTTCAGGTAACAAGGTATATCACCATGAATTTTGTGTTTCAATTGACTATTTTAGGGAAAGAAATGTCAAAACACTATTGAAAATTCCCTAAATTTTCCCTTGCCATTCCTAAAAATTCCTTAAATTATCCCCTGCCATCATTATCCAAGTCATTCTCCGTAGCCTCTAAATGCACTGCCAAGATTACAGTATTGCCTAACGGTATCTCTCGTCAATTCTGCCTTTTGTCAAGATCGTTAACAAGCCACGAAGACGTCATGATGTAATATCCACAATGTAGCCTTAACAATTTGTAATCCTGTAATAATTAGCAGTTTTTCCTGTTCTTACTGTTAACAAAGATTTTAATGTACACTAGCCAGAAATTTCTCAACACAAATCTGAAAAAATGAACGAAGAAACTGAAACCATTCCCAGATGACAATCCCCATTCTAACATCTATCGTGCCCAGGTGTTCGAGAAGATCTGGCTGACAGTGTACATGCTAAGTAAGAATTATATTTTTGCCTAATTTTATTCAACACCAGAGGAGGAAATACAGTATTGTATATTTTTGTATCTACTGTATTTTGTTCCCTCATTCAACATCAGAAAAAAACTGTTGTATATTTTTGTATCCCTGAACAATGTTACTTACGGCCAACAAACTCCTGTACTGTAAATGGTAGAGACAAGTAACAGTTTATTGGTGACAATTTATTAATAAGATTTTAGTATTAATTTATATAAGAAATTTGACATCAAGAGAGTAAAATGACGATATAAACAGAGATAAACTTTAGCATTAAATTAACAAGACTCATTTGGTTTATGCCTTAAGCAGGAGTGTTATGAAAAGTGTGAGAATGAGAGTCATTGGTTGGGTGAGGGCGGTGTAGGTGGCGCCACTCTCTTGGTAACCCTGGCTTCTAGCTCCTGCCACTCGAGGTCTTATGACGTTGGGGCTCACCGGTAAATCACCATCTGAACCGTCTGGAGGAAAGGTGGTCACAATAGTCAAACATTTTATGGCGTACTTCCGACAACGTACAGTACGGTACGTTGGTTTACACGCCAGCAATACACGGACGTCCCTTGACTTACGTGGGGGTGTTTTAGAACGAACCCATTTGTAAATCAAGCGACGCCAGTACACTGTAATATGATGCTTACAAAGACAATATAATATGGAGGTGTAAATACAGGCATCGCTCGATTATAAGGGATATATTTATTAATGGTTTCTGAACGGAATCCATGCGTAAATCGAACGGTACCTGTACAATACTAATCTAAACGGCATATACTGTATTAGTAGTAGTAGATAGAATGGTATAGGTTAGCATCTAGCTGCTGCCAGTAGTTTTGAGGAAGCCAAAGTTTTGTTAAAGGCCTCGTTAAGGAGCTTTGTATTAAACCATCATTACCAATATGAATCTATACTAAACTGTTCTCTATATACTGTATAAACTTGTACTACAAAAAGGATTATGCTGTAGAAACATCATTAGTTATTATTAAGTATATATAGTACTGTTTGTATTAGTCCCTGTAATAGTGTATTGTTGTACAGCATTTATCACATTAGTAGTAGAACTGTTAATAGAGGCAGGACAGGAAGACGGTAAAATAGTTCTCGGTCAAAGAAAATAGTGACTTTGGTTTACTGTATAAAAAACTAGTGAGAGTTCTATCATTCCTTAAGGCCACTATTGTGACTTCCATCGTTGAAGCAGAAGCAAGTAGGTAATGGGTAGAGCAGCACTCGTGAGGAGGGTTGTTGTTGGTGAGAATGGCATACCCATTTCACAAGACATGGGGAGAGGGAGGGGTTGGGTTGGTAGGCTGCCGCAACCGTCTGGCCCACGGTAGCTGCACTATCGGGTGACGCTCCGCTCTTGTTCGGTATCTGTCACACAAGACGACACTGTTACCTCATTCTGTAACCGATTCCAGAGCTTCATGCCACCAAGTACAGACTGGCACAGTACAGGCAAGCTGACCAAGCATGCAAGCCACACGACTGCTGTAGTACCACTGAAGGTACTTGGGAGATGCAGGTGTTGTATGACTGGAGGATGCTGACCTTATTTCCTACCCAGAGTGTGGTAAGCTTCCTGTTGAGGGAAGACCCACGTCACCACCACACAGAGGCTCTCAAACAACAAACATGCAATACACAGTCAATATATATATACTGCTACACAAAATTATTTCAACTGGAAAATCAAAATAATCAATGCGGTAATCTTGAACTGTCACGAATATTGCTGTAATCTATGTTTGCTACTTGAGCTCGGAATTATGTGAAAGATGTTTTACAGGTCTACCAATACTTGAAGGAAACAACATGAAGAGAGTGAGAGAGCACTCCAGTACTGTACAATACAAACTACATTCTGTCAATACACTACAGTGCTTCATTTACGATACACTACCAGTTACTGATCGAGTTTTATGCACACACACACACACATGGACGACATCATACGATCAGGAGTGATATTAGTACACATGGCGTGCTACATTACATTACAGTTTACAGACATGATACAATTCAAACACTAAGTTTGAGAGCCTCTTCATATTACTGTTGTCAACATGACCACAAACAGAACAAAATCAAAGCTGGATTTTGTACAGTTGCTGGATGTTGGATCATATGAAGTAAATAAGCTTCCTTATTGGAGTGAGGCAAAAATGATTGACAAGAATACTGTATAAAGGTAACAAGTACTTAAAACTTCTTATATGTCTGTAGCTTAAGATGGCCAAAGACATGAGCAGGAGCCAGCAATGACAACTAATTTTCTGCATAAAAACATGCTTCAGTAATGATCAACTACTAATTTAGCAGGAGTAATGACTGACTGTACTGTGGTGATAAAATATACGTTGGGAACTACAGTAGTTGTCCAGAAAGCTACATCATACCTCAGTATTACAGTGTATTAAGTCATGGTGCACTAACACAACAGATGCAGTTTACTGGAAGTGAAAGTGAAACCACTCCTATAAGCCTGATGGCCTGTTAGGGGCAGTACAGGTACAGCACACTATACAGTACTAAGACCTTGATACACAAGGTGGCATTGTAACTGCACCACTTGACCACTTTCACTTCCCCTAATTGTAAAGTTGGGTCCCCATTCACAGCTGGGAGTGCTGAAGACAGGAGGCAGCACTCTATCAACTTGCTGGTGTGCTGCTTCGGTCAAAGTCTTCACTATGTTTTATTCATTGGTGCAAATGTGAGATGCATAACAGTGAAACTCATAATGCAGTGCAGTACACTACAAGTACGCGACGTGGGACAAATGGCGGAACAAACGATAAACAGGACAAGCACTTGTAGAGGGCAACACAACACAGCGTCACTCAAATAAAATACTAGACTAAGAAAACAACATTGGCAACGAGAAGCAAGGAAGCACAGGAGACAACATATTGTTAGCAAATAATGAGGTGAAGGTAAGGAGGTTTCCATGCAATAACAATAACACAAAAAAGAAACTAAACACTGCTTCTTAATTGATGACTTTCCCCTCCCATTTTCTTTTGTTTCCATTAATGGTATAAACTTTACACCCATGAGGGCAGCAGTTAGGGAAACATCAAAGTTCTGTTGTACATTTGAGAAAACTATCTCATCCAAACACCAAATAACACATAGCTAAAACTATGGTACAGTATTAATATTAATTTTCTGGTCACATAAAGAAGCAGTGTTTAATTATCTTGTGAGTTCAGACTAACAAGCAGTAGTAAGCATGCACTCTACTAACGAGTATTAGTAAACACTTTAGTCCAAACTAATATTGTATTGAAGCATGTAATAATTAATACAAGTAATATGACAGGAACACAGCACAATAAAGTACAGCAATATCAGTAGGTAATAATACTATATGTAAGAGGAATAAAACAAGTTCCATCAATAACAGACAGTGATAACAGCCACACAATAGCTATGTTAACAAAATTGAGCATCAAAATAAAAACTTTATAAAAGTTAATGTATACAGTATGAAGCTTTCAATGAAAGTTTTCAGAACAGAATTTTATGATTATGATAACTTTGTACTCACCAACGTCAAAGCTATCGTCCTCGTTGTCTCCATCTCTCGCTGCCGCTGGTGGCATGATGTCTGCTCGGTCATTCTGGATATCATGTTGCATCTGTGGAAGAGCAACAGAATTAACTCCATGTCTGTTGCTAATATTATAATGAAACACCTTATATTGCACTTACTGGATTTGGAAACAGAGATCAGTTTTTGAGGTAGATGTTTAACAATGGTGGTACAGTACCTGAGAGCCTGAGGCAGGGCAGCCGAACCACCAGTAGCCTGCTGGGCGAGGGAACTCTGGGGAAGCTGTGTCTATACGGAAGGCTCACAAGCGCCAGTACTGTCCATCCTGTTTGGAAAAAAAAATATTAGTTTAAAAATATTTTCTATATACTTTATGTTTATATTCAAAGTACTGTATAATATAATTTGATATAACATACAGTATATGTTTACCAGAAAGTATCTCAGAAAGACCCCATTTAGAATGACTTGTATAGCAGTACCTTAAAGAAGTACGTGTATCCATTAGAGTATTGAAGGCCATCAATATTGTTAGGAAGACCTTCCCAGTTAGATATATCCTTGGGGTAGCTCTCTTTTACGGGAGGTCGCTGAGCAGGGTCAAAGCGCCAGTACTCCGAACCCTGTTGAAGGAAATTAATATTAATTCTTACAAAATAATTCATCGTCAGTTATTAATATATCACGGCTGTATAGAAGTGAGGTCTGTACGTTAATACAGTATACAATTTAATCCATAATACTACATACTGCTGGATACACACCTAGACGTTGATGTTATAATGTTGCTACAGCGCTTCAACAAGTAAGGTTTTTAAGCGCATAACAATTTTAGTAATAACAAAAGCCATCAACAATTATAAATCATAAGAAACAGAACTTTATATATACAAACCTTAAAGAAGTATATTTTGCCATTTCCAGACCACACAAAAGCTGCATTGATATTGTTAGGGATTCCAGAAAAGCCCTTTTGGATATCCTTAGGGTAGTCTGCGTCTCTCTTCAGACCTGAGTAGCGCCAGTACTGGTTTCCCTGAAAAGTAATCACCAACACTGAGTAACAGAACAACGAATGATCTTGGAGGGAAAGATTGATATACTATAAGAACAGGATCGTATAGGAGGTCAGGAATGATCAGGAGGCATCAGAAATAGGTGAGATTAGGGAAGGATAGACCAAGTCAGAATGGGTCAGGAATGGTCAAGAGGCATCAGAAATAGGTGAGATTAGGGAAGGATAGACCAAGTCAGAATGGGTCAGGAATGGTCAAGAGGCATCATAAATAGGTGAGATTAGGGAAGGATAGACCAAGTCAGAATGGGTCAGGAATGGTCAAGAGGCATCAGAAATAGGTGAGATTAGGGAAGGATAGACCAAGTCAGAATGGGTCAGGAATGATCAGGAGGCATCAGAATAGGTTAGGTCAGGATATGTCAGATAAGGATAAGTTAGATCAGTATAAGTCAGAAATATCAGTACATCCCCTTATGAAAGATCATTTTACGTCTTACTTTCTGTAACACAACTCTTATTATAACCCGATGGATGCCTATACACTATTAAGTATTAACTACACGATGACTCACCTTGAAGAAGTAAGTCTTGCCATTGGTCCAGGTGAAGGCAGCATCAAGGTTAGATGGTAGACCCTGCCAGCCTTCTGAAATTAGCTTGGGGTAACCGGGTGCAATTCCATCGTCGATGAGCTTCCAGTACTGAGATCCTGAAATTGACGGCAAGAATTATTAAAATAATAAAATAAATCACGAGTTATATATATACCGTGTATAGGAAATAACAATTGATGTGTGTAAGCTTGTAGTCGGTGACTTACCCTTGAACACGTACGTCTCCTTGTCAGGCAAGGTGACAATAACATCAATAGATGAATCCTTGCAGAGAGAGGACTCGCTTGGTGAAGAGCCTCCACTACCACTATCTGAAGCACTGGGTGTAGGGGGTCGCTGTGTTGGAGGGGTAGGCCGGGTAGTCTTCTTCCCGTACAGTGCCTGAAATAGGAATCCTCATTTGAATTGTGCCGTGGACTGCAGCTAGTTTATTGTGCATCACATTCTCATCCTGCGAGTTGTAGTGCAATAAGTATTGCAGTAGAGCTCAATGGATGTGATAATCCAGTTTGTGATTTAATTATGCAGATAATTGCCATAGTTTGTTGTTAGAGATACAGTATTAATTCCTCATCTTTGGTATTATTGTGAAGTCTAGTTACTGCCATGATTGGTATTAGGAGTGTAGACTGTCAGGTCAGGTCAACTCACCTGGATGCCTGTTATGTCATCCTCGTCCATAGTGAACTTAGACTTATAACCTCGGTAGAAGGGAGCCATGAGAGCCTTATTTTCATCAGAGTGGGATAGGCCGAGGGAATGACCAAACTCGTGCGCTGCTACCTGGAACAAGTTTGTGCCTGGAAATAACAAGATCAAAGGTCAGACACCATATCTTTGTGCGATAGATACATTGTTTGTATAGACTGTCAGGTTAACTAAACACAAGGTACTGTACAGGATAGATACAACAGTGGAAGGAGAGCTGGAGAGAATGGTAAGTGGATGACAGCAACAGAGGGAGATGGTCGGGAGGACTGACAGGTAGAAGGAGATTATTGTCATTATATTCACATTAAAATTGCAAAAGACCGTCAACAAAGCAATGTACATATAGTTACTCACCTCTGTAAGACTTAATGGTCCAAGCCTCAGTGTCATCAAAGTGAGCATCACCGCCATAGATGGGGAAGTAAGCGTGGGCCAGTGTACCTCCGGGACCATCGAAGGGGTCGCCATCACCGTGCTCTCCTCGCTCAAAACGAACCTCAATGTGAACCTTGCCAGTAGACACGGCCCTAAATGCCAAATCAGTCACATCTGCCCAGACCTGAAAGTGGGAGGGTAAATATTCTGTCAGTTATAATCAGTGGAATATTTTGTTCTACATAAAAGAGTTTATAGAAATTTACTTTATTCCAGAAATCAAAATAACTTCAGATAGTTAGTTTGTAAAATTTTTTTATTCATAAGTACAAAATAATACAACACATCTCATACCTGGAATGCGCTCTCAATCTCTCTGTCAACGTCGTTCCTCAGAAGACCTTTAGGGTACTTGGTGATCCTGTAAGTGATTTCCTTGACACGCCATCTTGAGCCTGTTGAAACCACGAAGCATTAGAATCATTGCTGAGATTAAAGGTTCATTTTGTATATTTTATATGTGTGGACTTTCCTTATATACTTTATACTTTACTCTGTACTTGTCTCGGCTTCTTCAGTCAGTTTCTACACTCCTCCTGCATCACTCTTCCTTACCATTTCCTCACTTAATCCCTTCACTATAGGGACGCTACTTTTAATATTTTATTCGGCTAACAACAGACAATTTTATTCAGCTTAGAGGGGATCCTGTACACAAGAGGTATGGATATTACAATTCTGTACTGTACACAATATTGTACATGGTTGGAGACTACTGATCTGAGCTACCCAGTACAGTACAGTATTAGGAAGTTAACATAGATCACACACACATTACTGTATAGCTCACACCTGCTTTCCCTAAAATAGTTTTGGCAAAGCGTTGGTGACAACCTCGTTCCATTCATCTTTTCTGAGTTACCCCATAAACTCCCCTAAGAGCTTTACCAAAGATAGAATATTACCGTATTTATAGTCTATGGAGTAAAGTAAATCTACGAGTATACTGTATATTTGTATAGCAAGACTCGTGGACTTTGAGGATACGTACGGCACTTTTTGTGTAGTTGTTCCATTATTTTACGTACATGTACCGTACATTACAGCATTACATAAATTTCCTGAACAGTTTTCCTGCTATTGTCATTATTATGAAGGCCATATGTAAATCTAAATTATTTATACTGTACATTTAAGGTACCTGTATAATTTAAAGTTGAATACTGTATAATAATGTTATCAAGTGTGAGAGTACCAAACACGGCCGTTTTTTTCCGGGTACTCCCGTATCCACCTGTACTAACGCTGGACAATAATGATCATAAGAAAGTAACAAACAGACACTGACCTTGCAGAGCATAACGCTTCTTTCTGGCATTGGCACCGAAGCCAATCTTATCTTTCACACCACAACGAGGAGTGTTCATCATCTCAATGGTCTCGTCGTCCAACTCTCCTGTCTGATCTAGCCCAGCAAATGCCTGTATGTAACAGATAAAGGAATATGAGGTGAGGTGATGGGAGAAAAACACTGATAGTTAGTTAGTCTTTAATGTACAGGTGTAGAGGCAAAGGTTGACACTGTACAGTATTGTACTATAATATTACAACTTGCTGACAATACAAAAGATTATGATTATTTTTGGAATTATTGTTTGATTGTGCAGATAAATAAACACAAACACACACACACTAACCTGGAATTCCATGATAGAATCTCTCACAGTCTCCCCAGAGATAAGTGATCCTGATTCAGGGTTGGTAACTTTAGGATCCATGTAACCAAACCTGGTCAAGTACAGCTGTGGGAAGAAACAAACTCGTTATTTATATATTATACAAAATATAACCCTAATGATAGCTTTGTTATGGGGATATATAACTATTTTAAATAATTTTTCAACGGTACAAGAATGATTTTTGTGATGGTTATATGATAATCTATTTACCGTAATATAACTATCGCCTGTGAGTAAAAATATCTTTATGTTATTTAGGTTTGATTATAAGTTGAGAAACCTATGATTGGGTAACAGGCTGATCAGTGACGAGAAGGATAAAGTAGACTAACATTGGTACGAGGGTGAGGCAGTCTGTGCAGTACTACCGTGTAATGTATTATTCACAACCAGATCAATACCGTACCTAGGAGCGGTGGTACAGTACTAACTACCTGCACCAGTGTAGTAGTAATAATAGCTGGCTAGTTATTCAAAAGTACATACAAATATATGATACAGTACAGAATTCAAGTGTACTGTATGTTAGTCTTATCAAATACGAAAATTACGTATATATCCTGCCCTTGTCTTTCACTCTACTGTAACTATGAAAAACCCATATAATGACTTGTTACCTTGGAATCTGTTGAATGGGTGGATATAAGGCAACATCTAGGTACTGTATTAAAGTCTAGGGAACCTTTACTGTATATAATTGCTGAGGACTAAGTCTGAGTAATTATATCTGGCAAATGAAAGTTTAGGTCGGTAGTATCAGTAATTACAGGTACTTACCGAAGTAGCTCGGTAATTATGGTAATACTGAAGGTTAGGAGATGAAAAATAAACGCTGGTAATTATATTATCAAAACAGCAAAAAATATATTAAATTTCGTGTTTGACCAGTAGTAAAATATGCAGAGAAATATTTTTATGAAGTGTTATTTGAGTGTGAATTATGAAACGATATTTGTGAGGGAAGCTTAAGAAAGTTAGTTCTTGGCGGGAACTTTCAGGATTAAGTTAAGTAAGTCGCTCTAAACATTATAGAAGTCCTTTTCATATTCATTATTAATAATTCAAGAACTATAGGTTGGTTTAAGTAATGTTATGGATTTTATCTCCTAATTGATATTTAATGACCACATATTATCAAGGTAGTCAAGAGCAATTTATAAGCTATTTTTATACGTTATGTTTGTCCTAGGTGGAGATATCTGGTGTATAATAAAGGTTTATCAATAATTTGTTTGGTTCACGGTAAACACAGTGGAAACAGATGTCAAAATGTTTGGAGACCGTCAGCCATGTGGGTCGTATAATACCAGGGCCGGGCCTGGCATGTTTACAAGCTCACACGGTCTGTTCTCCGTTAAGCTGACAAGAAGAGATATGTACACTGTTGCGACTATGTGTGTATAGCTTTCTTTACTTTTAATATTAAGCTTAGTTTCCCCGAGTTAAGGTATTCAAGCTGAGTTTCCCTGAGTTAAAATGTTCCAGCTGAGTTTCCCCGACCAAGCTTTTTTTTTTACCTATCGATATTTTAACGTTATCTTTCTATAAATGATGACAGAGAATACATAATGCCACTACAGCTAGTTGGGGGATCCAAAATTGCCACACTCGGAAATGTACACGAGAGAGGTAGAATTGATCGTATGGGCGTCGTGTGTGTGATGGCTCCTGGTCTAGTTTTTTGATACTTCCTGCGTTTGTGGCGTGACAGTTTTTCTTTTGTTTTTCTTTTTATAAACAATTCTCGTGTCATTCCTGGTATATTTTCGTTGATTTAATGTAAAAATAATAGTATTTCATTAAGTTTAAGAATGTCTATTTATCTAACATGCTGATTAAACAAATTAACTCGAAATGAGGGGTGGGGATAAGTTACGTTTGGTTAAGTTAGGTTATTTAATCAATTGAAATAAGCTGGGTTCCTATTATTCATGAGAACCAAAATATAGTAAAAGCGGTGACTGAATTAATGTAATTTTAGCTCTGATTAATGTAATTTTATTTTGTATTGTGGAAATCTTACAATACTAATCAGGATTATTTTCTCATTCAACAGAAGTCCTGATGGCGCTCAACCAAACGACGCGAGACTCACTTGTGACCTCCAGCACCTACGTCACACCACCGGACACAGGTGAGGCACACCTACTTGATAAGAGCTTGTTTACCCTTACCATGGCACCACCTGGTTACTGTTGGCCGCGCCATCTGGGTGACCTTTAACACAAGTACCCTACCATAACACCTCTGATCCCTTAACACAACAAAATTCGAGGTTGCTGATGTTATAATGTATTACAACGTCTCAACAACGTATACTCGATTCGTTATAAGAAGCCCCCTGAAAGATTACTGTAGTGGTCCATTTCTTTGTACAGAAGATGGTTTTTCCCAAGAGGCTTTGCTTGTTTGTAGTACAGTACAGATTGAGTGAATGAGTTACCAAGTGAAAATGCAGCCTGTCTTTGCTTTAACCTAACCTAACCCACACCGAGATAAAAGCTATGGAGGAAGTGTGAGGTGGATCTGGTGAAGCGAAGTGGCAACCAATGAACCACTGAAGAGGAAGTGCACAAGAATATTGATGCGTTTCCGCTCGAGTGAGGCGCCTTTGTGGTCAGTGGTCACACATACACGACCTTATAATTAAAAACAAAGATATCTATTGGTGTATGTAATTATTCTACCTTCCTTTGGTCACGTGTTAAAACTCCTAAAGGTATATAGTTTTTCTTTTAAATTTGTCTTTGTTAAAATTTGTGAGGCATACAGTATATTGTTCTTAGTTCACGTTTAATTTTTATTCCAACTTTCAATAATTCTCGTAAATACACAGGACGTTACCTTCACAATGTTAAGGTTTTTATTTTCTGTAAATGATGTGGTTATATTTTTATCGAACTGTAGTCATGTGTGTGTATGTTGAACTAATCACATTCACGGGTTGGGATGTGGTTGCGTGGTTTAAGTACTTCCGGGGCGTAGCGTGTATATGCACAATAGATTAGCACAAACCACTAAGAAATTTAGATAATGTATATACTGCCATATTTTAAACTTATAAAGAAAAAACTTTTTCTCTCGTTCAAAATTTCTCTGGTGTGTGTGTGTGTGTGTGTGTGTGTGTGTGTGTGTGTGTGTGTGTGTGTGTGTGTGTGTCAGTCCCCATTAAGGAATTCCGTGTCGTGAATGTCAACCGAGGAGGCAGGCGTGACCTTGACGTGGTCTGTGAAGGTCATTGACAAAACCATAGATTATGTACTGGCAATAAATACTTCCTCAGTGTGTATGTATGTATGTATGTATGTATGTATGTATGTATGTATGTATGTGTACCAGTTGTCACCTTGTGTTTTTGTCTTCAGATGATAGTTTAGCCTTGTCTTGGCGAGGTGTGGTTGGTTACTTTAGATGATAATATTATGGCTGGTAAGACAAAGAACTTCACCAGGTGTTATTGCCTGTATGTATGTATGTATGTATGTATGTATGTATGTATGTAGTGTATAAAGCACTCCATATGATTATAAGACCAGAAGATTATTAATACTCATTTACGAAGATCCTCAGCGAAGTGGTTAACTGTATGTGATAAGTTAATAGACTAGGTTAGAGGGCGGGAAGGAGGAGGAAGCGACTGTTGCCGTTAGTTTAGGGTGTAACTTCCCTAACCCCCTTTCCTTCCCCTGGTTCTTTGTGTCGACGTTCACCTGTTATATGCAGCATCATATCTCATCTCACCTGTTCTTACCTGTGTTGATTAGCTTCTCTTATGGCGGCTACAGTTAGATACGGTTTTATATGTGTTTTGTAATAGAGGGTAAATATTATTATACCGTACACAGTCTGTTATAGCTTGAGATACTGTAGTCTGTTAGCTTTATATACCGTACAGTAGCTTTATATACCACACTGTTATAGCTTGAAATACCAGTCTGTTAGCTTTATATACCATACATTCTGTTAGCTTTAAGTACCAGTCTGTTAGCTTTATATACCATACAGTCTGTTAGCTCTTAGTAACATAGTCTGCTAGCTTTGTTATTAATGCGCAAACAGTTATTTTAGGTGTTATTAATGGTCTGTTATCTTACACGTTCCTCTATGGTTAACAGTACTGGGAATATCATGTGTGAGGTAATGTTTCCGTTCTCCGTGTAATTAGTCGCTTAATAGCCTCGTTTAGTAGTTAATTACATGTATGAGTGTGAAGAATGTTAAACTTATCGTGTGAGAGAGAGGGTGCTGAACTCTCAAAAGTATAATGAATTTAATAACACAAGTATGTATTTATTTTAGGTTCGTTTGCCATATTTTTTTTTACTCATAACGTTGCCAATATTTCCGTGTTACCATTTGACATATTTCCGCGTTGCCACTAGACATTTCTGCGTTGCCATTTGGGTATATTTCACCGTTGCTAGTACAGTAAGTAAAAGCAACAGGAAGAGCAAGTTGGTTTGACACATTTATATTACATTTCCTACCTCACTCGTTCTATGTCTCCCAAGATGACTCAGCTGATAGTGGGGGGGGGGATGGAACCGGTATTCACAGCCGGGGCGGAGGAAGTTGAGTTAAATAGTGATCGTTTGGGAAGTTGGTCTGGAGAAATGAACCTAACAGATTGGTCACTTGATATATATTTTACTGGAATTTAGGGAATATTTACGTATTAGAGTTAATTGTATAGAGATTTGTATAAAAATAAAAAAATTATACCCGCGAGCGCTCTGTAGGATGATGACTGTACATTTCTGGTAACTCATGTCGTCATAGTTGAGTCATGACGTCATCAACTAATCGTAAATGTTGTCAACCGGAAACTAATCGAGAGAGAGTGTGGGTGAATGTTTTATTTGTTGAGTAAGTTTTGTGTGGTGGTGGTGGTGGTGTGGTAGGTTCCGGCGGGGTATGGATGATAAGAGTATTGATAAGTGTGTTTACAATGTTTGGTCTTAGCGAAGTGTGTATGTAATGTAATAGATTGATCACACACACACACACACACACACACTTGATACACCAATACGTTCATCACTCACCCTCAAGTTACAGGGTCGAGTGGAGTGTGTGGTCTTTGTGAGGTTAAGTAGTTTTAACCTTGTCACTGCCTCACTGGGTTCCTAGAAAGGGAGTGTGGACCATCTCTGTTTCCCCCCCCCAGGCCAGAATAGCTGTCTGGTGTGTTAATTCTACGTCCGGTGGTTTAAACTGTGTTAACCTTGTGTTGGGTGGGTGAGAATGTGTTAAATATTATGCTGGGTGATTTAAATTGTGTTAAACCTAATGCTGAGTGGTTTAAATTGTGTTAAACCTAATGGTGGGTGGTTTAAATTGTGTTAAATCTAATGGTGGGTGGTTTAAATTGTGTTAAATCTAATGGTGGGTGGTTTAAATTGTGTTAAACTTAATCCTGGGTGGCTCAAAATGTATTAACCTCATACAGGGTGGTTCAAAATGTATTAACCTTTTTCAGGGTGGTTCAAAATGTATTAACCTCATACAGGGTGGTTCAAAATGTATTAACCTCATACAGGGTGGTTCAAAATTCCCGGATATTGTGAACGTCATACTCAACGGGTCATACATCAACACATCCAGTATCCAGTGACTGTTTTTTTCCAGTGGGTTGTGAATGCGCTATTGTCGACACCACTCTGGATCCGTGAACGACAGGTAATAGTTAGTTACCCAGTGTTTTGTATATCCGGAAGTCCGGTTAGAGACGAGAGGTGGAGTCAATGTATCCGTGAGATGGTTAGGGTAGGGTCAGGTGAGGTCAGGTGAATGTATATGTGAAGTGGTTAGGTGAGGTGAATGTATCCGTGAGATGGTTAGGTTAGGTCAGGATAGGTTAGGTTAGGTAATGATAGGTTAGGTTAGGTCAGGTAAGGATAGGTTAGGTTAGGTAATGATAGGTTAGGTTAGGTCAGGTAAGGATAGGTAAAGTTAGGTAATGATAGGTTAGGTCAGGTCAGGTAAGGTAAGGTCAGGTCAGTGTATGCTTACAGTGAGGAGAGGTATACTGCCCTCACAGCTACAGTGTTTGGACCAGCTGGGTCTTGTTAGCCCAGCCTTCATGCATCTCAACATCCCGACCCATATGTATTGTTCAACTGGCATTTCCCTTGTGTGAGTCAGCGTCCCACTCACTCACTCACTCACTCACCATCTATCCATACACACTAGAGAGAGAAAATATCGTCCTACAAGTTCAGCATGATTCAAAACATATGTAGACAGTGTGTGTGTGTGTGTGTGTGTGTGTGTGTGTGTGTGTGTGTGTGTATGTCACTGCTGCTGTTTATATTCAAGAGGTCATCACTTATATCTTGTGACTAGTCTTCCATCACCTCCCTCACTCTCCCTGCCACCCTCATCCTCTACCCTTCCCTACTACTTACCCCCTCTCTGCCTCACCCTTCCCCTCCTTTCTACCCTTAGCCATACACCCTCACCCCCTCACCCCCTCACCCCTACCACCAAAATCCTCTGCCCTGTGATCTAATATTCATTGTCGGCCATTGTGCGCTTACATGAGAGCCTGTTGGACGCTGTGATGCTCTGAACTAAAACATTTACACCTGATAGAATAAATTTTGGTGAGATAACAATGAGGTGGAGAGGGGGTGAGGTGGGGGGGAGGAGGGGGAGGAGGGGGTGTTAGTCATGTAGTACGCACACAAAGAACACAACACACACACACACACTCACTCACCTACCGGAATACCTCCACATAACACTCATCATCCCTTCCCCTGTACCACCCACCCCTCCATCACCCAAACACCCACCCCTCCATCACCCCCAACCCCCCACCCACACCCCTCCCCTTCTCCATCTAAATGCAGAAATTATAATGAACGTTGCTTGAATTCATAGTCTAATATGTGTAACTAACCCAGCTCCTTTGTCCCTCACCTCCTTCCTTCATAAATAATCCACGTGTTGCTGCCCATCCCTCCTTCCTTACCACTCCTTCGTGACTGAGACAACCACAAGGTATGATCATGGTACTAGGAAGAGCTATGAGTCATCGTGTGTTTGATCAAGCCTCCCAGTACCAGGCAACACTCACCTGTGTGTTTCGCTTTACGATTCACCTTAAAAATGTCTTACACGTCACATACATACATACATACATACATACAAAAGAGGACCTGACCCCAGACTTCACCCAGAGGCACACCGCCAATGAAGCGATACAGAAAACGAGTCTCTGTGAATCTGAGCTTCTTCCAAGAGGTTCCTGTTTGAGTCACTGGAGCAGGAAGTTAAGGTGATTCACGGGTGACTCTTATAACCTACCATCCTCGACCTTGCAACAGTGCATTCCTCGACTCAGCTGACATGCACTCAAACGCCTGGTGGTGAATCATAGCCAAGGACTGTCGTTAGCTACACTGTGGGGTTGGGTAGGGTGTAGGGAGGGTGTGGGTAAGTGGGTGTAGGGAGGAGGGAGGGTGGGTGTGTGGGGTAGGAGGAAGCGTGGGTGTGAAGGGGTAGGAGAGAGTTTTAGGTGTGGTGTAGGAGAGAGC